ATTTGTAAAAGCACAGGACATGTTTGCCTCTCTTTGTTTTATTGAGCTTTGTAGCCTGTGAGATCTTTATCCTATGGACAGTTTCAAGTCTGCTTTTCATACATGCAGAAAATGCAAGTATTGGGAGGGGATCAGAAATACACATGGCAAAACTAGAGTATCCACCATTAATAGAAAAGCAGGTAATAAAATCTTTATTACCAGCAGCATTTTTGCTACGTACGGAGACTCTAATTAAGATGTAAATTTTGATTTTGAGCAGTGAGACAAAACCATGCTACAGATATACTAAGCAAGTCTCTCCATGCTATATAAATGAAGCACCTTGAACATCATTTGAAGCATTTTAATGAAAAGAATGACTTTGTAACATGGATACTGTTTGTCTTCATATCAATTACAATAAACATCATAAACTTTTGCAAAATAAGGATGCACTATCCTGTACCATGGTGTAGGCTTATTCCTTGGATTCTAATATATATATATATATATATTGGTTTTCACACACACACACACACACACAAATCCTCATAATATATACCACAATGTGACATCATACTCATTAAACTGAAGTGAGAAATACAAATTTACCTCATATGTTTATTATAATCTGCTGTGAATAGTCTTTAAATTGCTGTTTTGTTTTGTGCTCCCCACCCCTCACAGCTCAGCTTTCATTGTCTACAGTCCTTTTGCTCATCCATATCATTTTGTGTCTTCCCTGTCACCAAATTAACTATTGCTATCTTTCGGCCAGACACCTTACAGACATGGATCTTCACTGAGGGTAGTGCTGCTTAGGGGAACACAATCATAGTATTATAATTTATGCATTCATGAAAGGCAATTGGTCTTCTCCCCTGAGACTTAAAATGTCACCTCTAGTAGACCTGGGCCTGGAATTTCAACAGCATTCTTCAACTTGGGTATGCTGGTTACAGTTCAGTTATTTTATTAAAAGAGAAAATAAATGAGGCAAGTTAGAATCTATTATTACAGCTCCCTTTTTTTCCTCTCAAAAGAATGCTTGAGAAGGAAAGAGTTGTGAAAATAAAATCAAGGTGAATGCTTATTTCATAATCTCTAGGTTATGGAAAATACAACACAGAATAGTGCATGCATTCACCTTTTCTTCTTGCTCTTTGCCAGAGGTTGCAATATAAAATCTCACCCCAAAAGCCTGCACAAAACAATAGTTATAGAATCAGGCCTGGGGAGGTTGAAATAAGTCAGTAAGTACTCTGAATGGAACATATATCTTCACATCTCTTCTATCTTTATCAGGATGCTCATGTAAGATACCGTGCATCTTCAAACAGGAAAGTGAATTTGTAAAGTAAATATATATTTTTATTGATGCTTGTATCCTCAAAGGATATTATAGTCTTTTTATACCAGCTAATCCTATCTTTTTAATTACATTTGAAAAAAAACTTAAACTGATTTTTGATTATATGACATTAATCAGAATAACACAGTTGTTATAGCTAGCTTTAAATATGATAAGGTTAGATGGAAACATGTCAGAGAATGGTATTTTTAAAATACTATTTCTGAATTAAAAAGGGCTTATGTGCTTCTTTATAAAGGCCCAACACATAACCAAATCCCGTATTCATTTATTTGCAAGTATATATTGTGCCAGCTTTTTAAAGAAGTTGAATGAAATGTTTGTTATAAAACCACATTTCCTTCAGAATGTACAGCATATCACTGGTTACAATATACTTTGTACACACACACACACACATTTACAAAGGAAGTGACAAGCTTACTCTTTGAATTTCTTTTCATGCTAGCCTACTCTTCAGTAAATGGTAGTAGATTACTACTTTAGAACCATCTGCTGCTTTCATTTATATTTAGCAGAAGTAATGACCACCCTGCCTGAATTTTAGACAAGCCACAACACTCAAAACTGCTTTTCAATATAAGTGATACTTAAGCATACATATGCATACATATACATGTAATTCCCCAAACAGCCTTTTTATCCTTTTAGATCAAAAACACAAAGTTTCTCCAAAATAACATCACAATAATTTTATCCTATCAGCACAGTACAGTGAATGAACCACTAGCATCCTGCATCAGTGATTATTCAGGTCTGGCAATCTCTGTTTAAATTGCACAGTACAGAGTCTATATATGGTTCACCTTAAAATCCTGGCTATAGTCTTTTGTAGAAAGTATAAATGGGAAAAGGTTTTAAGTGTAATACAAAACCCATACTCTCTCCCTCTTTATGAAACTCTTCTGGCACATGTTTTCCTTGGAGAGCCACATGGTGTTACTGTCTAAATAAGCCACGGCAAAGATGATTGAGGGAATTCAATCACTCTTTAATTAATACAGGATTATTTCACTTGCATTTTGTGGAGCTAATAATACGAGGTGGAATGTCAGTAAAAATTAAATCGTAAACTAGTGGAGGGCCAAGGGAGCAGCTCACTTTCGTTATGGAGTTTTCCCACTAGATATTGTGAAAAATCTTACAGCTATTTACATTGGTAATGCTGTTCCATGGAACAGTAAAAGATTTCAAGAATCTGAATGGCACAGGCATATATCACAGAACAAGTGAACATTTTCAGATTATCTATTAATAAGTGAATTGAGGCAAGTTGTTTCCTGAATGTTAAAGGACCACATGTTAAATCGAGAAGTACACTCAAGGTCAGCACTGCATTTTGGACTATCTCAGTCTCTGTGATATTATGGTAATCATATTTAAAATATTCGTGGAGAAAGAACAAATTAGGCTTTTCACTAGAACGATTATTATGATAACAATTCTGTGGCAACAAATTCATATTGCTTTCTTTCCCACAGTAAATTACAACCCCTTATTGGGCTTGTGGTGCTTCTAAATAGGGTGAGTACAATCCTTCATTTGCCTTGCTTTCTTTAGAGGAAATATATTCAAAGGGAAAGTACGATAGATATACAGACAGACAGACAGACAGACAGACAATGTAGTTTAGATGAAAACATTCTAGTTCATACAGAAATCAGAAAAAGTTAACCTCACATAAGCTGCTAATGTGAAATAAGATGAGAACTGTAAACCTAAGCAATTATGGGACAAGATTAGAGGGCTGTTGTTCCCTTTTCCCTCCAGAGCTTCCTACCTAACTGGAAGCTCAAGGCACTAAAAATAGAAAGACGATGGAGTGCAAATATTTCCCCAGTGAAAACACCAATAATCTTTACTGTGAGTTGACATGAATTGCTTGTTACACTGCCCTAGGATATCATGACCTGAAGCAACAATGTATGCACACATACACAAAGACATACATACAAAGTTTCTCAACATCTCTCCAAAGCCATGGAAATACATTTGTATATGCACATTTACAGTATCCAAATAGAATCAGACTTTTAGCTAATACCTATTCAACAAATCCATGACTTGGAGCCCGCCAGGTATTCCCTTCCCCGTTCAGAATGCCTTTACTCACTCTCTCTAGTGTTTTTATTATTAACATTATTGTTATTATTATAGTTCAAGAATAAGCTAATTCACTAGAGACTTAACCCCTGAAGCACTAAATTTCTTCACATCTACTAAAGACACAGATTTGTTGTTACCTCTAGCAATATCCCAAGAAAATGAGTGATGGTGGTGTCATATTACCATATTAATGACTTAATTTATTGTGACATCAGGGGTGGGATGCTACCAGTTCCTCCCGGTTCTATAGAAGAGCAGCTGACACGGAACTGGTTCAGTGTTTAGCCCACCCACCTGCCCGGGCTCTAGGCTATCCTTTATTCTCTGCTTTTCCCTCCTCAGCTGCTTTATGCAGCACAGCTGAGGTTGAAAAAGCAGGAAATGAGGATTTTCATGCAGCGCTTGTCAGCTGTCCAGGCAGCACAGCTGATGATTTTTTGCAAATGCTGCACACACGTGTGTTATGATCACTCCACTGGCTGGCCCCTCCCCTCCCTGCCTACTCACTCCTTACCTGGCATGTGAGCCATCCAAATTGCCTGATTTGGTAAGTTGCTATTTTTCTTTCCCCCGCCCCCAACCATCAGCTGTTCTGCTCTGCCAGGAGATTTAGATTAGCTAGAAAGCAGGAAATCATTGGATTTCTTGCTTTCTAGCTAATCTAAAAGCAGAACCAAACCTTCCTTAGGACTGAAGCTTCTACTTTTCAGTGCAGACTCGGGTAGCTGATTGCAGATAGATAGATCTCTAAGTGAATCTGTGATTCTGTGAGCAACTTAATATGTCTGCCTGCTTTGCCTGCTTTTGGGTAAAAGTTGCTTTTAAAAAAAATAAAAAAATATCAATATTTCCATACATGGCGTGTTGTGAATTAATTTTGTGAGTTTGCTTGCTAGCAAATTTTATCAGTTTGCTTGCAAGCTAATTTTATGTGACAGACTCAGGTTGCCAATTGCAGAAAGATAGATCTCTAAGTGAATCTTTAATTCTTTGAGCAACTCAATCTGCCTGCCTGCTTTGCTTGCTTTTGGGTAAAAGTTGATCTTTTTTAAAAAAAAATCAATATTTACATAAATATAATATTTACATACAAGCCATGTCCACCCAGTCATATGACCACCAAGCCACACCCACAAATTAGGCCACACCCACAAACCAGTTGTTAAGAAATCCACCCCTGTGTTACATCCAGGGAATGGGCACCTACAAAGATTTACAAACAAGTCATTAAACTACATAGAAATGTATATTCCCATTTCCTAATAAGCTTGTCACCAGGATCAGACTGGAAACATTTTCACTTACCTTCTAGTTCTAGTTCTATATAATAATCCCCCGTGTCATGCAATTATCCTTTTTTATTAGTTGAATTCCCAAGATAAAGTATAACTGAAATGATAAGATTTTTATAACATGTTACTACTTGGTACTTTTCATGTTTCTTGACTTGAACACATAGCAGGTTGAATTGTTGGACAGTGCAAACTTCTTAGTATGATCATCCCTGCATCCAAGACAGAATTCTTCCTTCAATAGCCTTTTCAGATTATCTAACATCAGAGACTAGTATCAAAACAACTTTTTAAAGCTGGGAGGTATGTTTGAATGTTATCTGTAATGTTGAGTGCTAAACATTATATATAATAGATTAAATATAGTTGATCCATGTTTTCAAAATAGTTTACTTGCATCCAACAGTGTGTAATGGTTCTAGGATTCTGGGATTCTGGGATTAGGGTTCTTTTTTATTTCTCATAAACTAAAATTAGACAACTTCCTCTGTTATAAGAGGAAAGTTTCTCTATTCAGTCAGACCAAGTGTCAGACCAACAGTTCACCATCTTCTTTTCCAGATCAATTCTCACATTAAAGCAGAAGAATGGAAGACTTTCTTAGTTCAAGGGTCCAATTAGAAATAGTTCCAATGTTTCAGAATAAAATACAAAGTGCACGTCTCAAGGTGGTTAGCTATCGCAGAAACAATTATAGACACTTCCACTATTTTATCAAAAAATATCTGCAGGGCTCCCCAAAACAGCAACTGAAAACTCAAGGGAAGAGCAATTTTAAAATGCAACTTAAAATTTTTCTTAAAAATAAGAATAGGCATCATATAAAAATCATAGTCCTGTGCATGTTTATTCAGAAGTACATTTGAGAAGCAATTTAAAATCCAGCCTAATCCACATTTACCCAGAAATAAGATCAAGTATCATATGAAAATCCCTGGCTTGTAACAGTGAGAAGTAATATCCTATCATAGTGTGCTTATTTGGAAATAACAGTGAAAAGGAATTCAAAATCCCCAAATAATTACGGAAGCAGGAGCACTTAATATTGATTGCTGTACCAAATACCAAGAAGCCACTGCCACTTAGGAGGTGCAGAGCACTTCAGCAGATGCAAATTGATCTGGCAATCTCCACTTTAAAGATCTAAGGGTTCTTTAACATTCAAAGACAACAAAGCCACTCCAGAGAAATAGATCCACTCCGGAGATTAACAAAGATTCAGCAACTTTTTGGTCTCTGAAGTACATGAAGCAGCAGAGAAGTACAATACTTCATGAAATATATGCAGCACAGATCTTGTAAGGTATCCAGAATTAACAAGTCACATTGTAGGAACTGTGTAAACAGGAAAATAGATGTAACAAACATTTTTTTTGAAAAGATACAGTATTCCCAAGAGACACCAGAATGACAGGATAAGAGTGGGATTACAGAAAGGGACTATGTATGGTAATTCTCCCTTATATGGGTTGGGACTCCAGAGAGATCTTTGGCCTAAATACCCTTCCCATACTTTTCAAAGTCTTCCAGGTGCTCTCATTTCTTTTTTATTTGCTTCTCTATAATGTGTTGCCCATGTACCAAAAACAGAAGTTGAATCGTGTGGATTTGAGGCAGAATACATTCTTTAGACTGTGAAAAAAACCAGAATTATCTCCTTGCACTCCTGTTATTCACATCACTTCTTAGTATCAACTAAGAAATTAATATTAATGGATAAAATCTGTTTTCATACAGGACTTTTAATATGTCAGACAAAAATGATGTAGATAACACTTTTTCCTATTTTAATTTGTAACTAATCCAATAAACATCTTTATATTTTAAAAATCACATTAGCAAAAATGATTAAATGAAACAATATAATTTGATCTTTTGTGGCTAGATATTTACATTATTATTTCCATCGATCAGCTTGTTAATCTTATTATTTAATGGCAATTAAGAGAATTAGTTTTATGTGTCAAACATGTCATATGCCTACTACTTTGGGAAATAAACTATTAGTTTCTATCATTATGAATTCCCAGGTTCTTTCTTATTTATCAATATCTATCTATCTCTATAATCTACAGTTATCTATCTGTCTATCTATCTATCTATCTATCTATCTATCTATCTATCTATCTCTATCTAAAAAACAATTGCTACCAACCTGCCTTCCATTGAGGACCTGTATACTGCATGAGTCAAAAAGAGGGCTGTGAAAATATCTACAGACCCTCTCACATCCTGGACATAAATTGTTTCAACTCTCAAAACAAGACTATAGGGCACTGCACACCAGAACAACTAAACACAAGGACAGTTTTTTCCCCCAAATGCTATCACTCTGCTGAACAACTAATTCCCACAACACTATCAAATTATTTACTAAGACTATATTACTGTTATTCTTCTCATCCTTCCTAGTACCTATCTCTTCCCACTTATGACTATAAATATGTTGCTTATATCTTTACAATTTATATTGTTTTATTTGTTTCCTGGTATGATTTGATTGCTTATTAGTGTTGATGAATATATTTTTTTAGTTTTTCTTTATGTATGCTGAGAGCATATACACCAAAGACAAATTCCTTGGGTGTCCAATCACACTTGGCCAATAAAGAATTCTCTTCTCTTCTATTATCTGTCTTCTACATTTTCAGATGTTTATGAAGATGATATGACTTTCAAAATCAAAAACAAAAATAGTAAAAAATAAGTAGCATTGTCAAAAATATTATTAAAAGATTTTCAGAGGTAAAAACATTAATGATCTTAAGAATGTTCCTGTTTTTAATCAAGAGATGCTACAATTAATGGAAAAAAATACCTGTATCCATCCTAGGAATGACCACAAAGAGGGATCAGAACATGAAGTATGGAGACTGGGACCATGTGATGAAAGTCCTGTTTCTTTTTATAAGTTGTGGAACATGTTAAAAAAGAGATAGCATTTCAATGCTGAAGTTGCTGAAACAATGTGACTTTTTTTAAACTCTTTTCTCTCACAGATGCATCTGATCGAAGTTGAACATGGATGTAAGTATTAAGACAAAATGTTACCTTATGCAGTTGACCTCTTTCAAATATATAAACCATATTAAGTGTTTTTTTTTAAAAAAATATTTCAAATTCTAGCCAGGGCCAACCAAACCTCAAAATCCAAACAATATGGCAAATTGATAAATGTCCTTCCTTTAAGGATAAAATCAAAGCTATTGCCTTTCAAACTCTTTCGTGTAGCTACATATTAGAGAAACTGTAGTCATGTATCAATATACTACTGTATTCCTTCCCTTTAGTGTTCTGTTTGTTTCCATGTTCCTTCAACTTAATATCATCAATCAAAAGAGACCTTTCTTAAGCTATGTCATCATCAACTCTCAATTGCCCAACCCACAATATCTTTCTTGGATAAAATTAGAGGTTGATTTTAAAATGCAAACCATTAGCCTTTTGACATAGTGGCAACAGAAACTGTCTGCCTTTTTTTCTACATATACCAAAAATTGACTAGTATGAATACAACACATAAAACATGAATAAAATTTGGTGGAATTTCCAGAAGTAATTGAACTTAAAACCATGCTTTGTATGTTATACATCTCTAAAGGTGTGCTGGCCAACTACTTGATACAATTTCAGCAAAAATATAAACAACACAGTTGATTTTTCAAGGAATTGTAACTTCACATTTTCAGTTTAAGTGTTATTTTTAATTCTATTGATTTTTTTAACTGTGAAATTGAAATGTTTTATTTAAATGTAATTTGAAAAACTGTCCCATACATAACTATTGCAAAAATGACTGTCAAGATCCATGCTATACTTTAAAATATTATTTCACAGTATCCATTACCATGTTCTGAGAAATTAGTTCAAATGTCAGAATTACCTTGCTTGACTAATATGAAGATAATATAGATATAACTTAGCAGAGAGCATTAAACAATTTGTGAGCATTTTTTTTTCATTTATCATCTTATTCTTTTTCCCTTTCAGTTCTGTCATTTGATGAGCATCCTTATCTTTAAAAAAATATTGACAATTTCTACATAAACTATTTATGGAGATATGGTAATAACTGTAACTGTAAAGCAATGCACGCACCTTGTGACCTTCTGGGTCTGTTTTATTTGGAGAACAGTTCTAAGCAATGGCCTGATCACAGTGGCCACCTGATCACAGTGGCCCATGCTGAGGTATCACGAGTCCTCCTACATTTATTAACAGAGTAGCTTTCCTATTCCTGTTCTTGTTGGAATTAAATTCTTAAAAACTTTTTTCTTTTCCACATTCAGCCAGTGAAGCAGCAGAGATCCAAGTTGAAAGGGTTGTCTTGCCATTTTTTTCTTGACTTACATGGTACTGTTTCTTTATTTTCCCTGTAGACATATTTGCAGATCAGGCTTACAGCTACACTTAGGTTGGGTTTCTGACCTTAGTTAAGCTACTGTATCCCTGCTGAAGTACAGCCCTTTAGGTCATAGACTTGCTATTATTCTGTGGTTAATAGACCCGATCAGGGTACACATTAGAAAGAATTTGGCTATAGTCCTATCCCTAGTTTTAAATGTAGAGGTAACTTACACAAAAGGTCTACTGATTAATGAGGAACAAACAGGGAAGGAAGGAAGGAAGGAAGGAAGGAAGGAAGGAAGGAAGGAAGGAAGGAAGGA